GTGACTCTGTGAATACCTTTTCTAGCAAACAAACAATCACACATATAGATTTAGTCAGTCATTAAGTAGTGATGTATTAAATAGTAACTGACTATGAACTGTTTTATCAGTTTCAATCCGGGATCCGTGTTGAGTTTATTTGCTGTGCAAAAAAATACCAGCAACATAGTAAGTAGAGTAGAGTAGAGTAAGTAGAGCTGAGTGAGTAGAGTAGAGTAGGGTAGAGAGTCGTTACCATTTAGTCACTAGTCATTAGTCACAGCCATTAGTTGGTTTAGTTGTCACTGCAGTCAATCAATCAGTGAGTCTGTCAGTGAATGAATTAATTAGTGAGTCAGTCCACCCTGTTTGACACTGAATCCTGGCACGGCACGTGAGCTTGCTGATGCGCTTCTTTGGGTCAGCAGCACTTGCTGACCTCTGGAGAGTGTCATGTAAAATGCTCCTTTCTGCTCGCAAGTTGCCTCCATAGCGGTCCACCACTGCCATGTGGAGCAGCCATGGAAACAAGTTGGCCACATCTTCAGCACCAGCTACCTTGGTCAACACAACAGAAGTGCTGGTCCAACCAGGTGCAGTTCACCTTCATCACAACGTTCTGTTACTGGTAGCAACCCTTTTGGGAAACTTATTGGAATGTTATACTGGTATACAGCAGTGGAACTTAAACAATGGTCATCATTCTTCCAACTATAACCATACCCTGAGCCTTCCTACAGCATGGTCTGCGCCTGAAGTCTCAAAGTGCATGCCCAGTACGGTTTCTAGCCTATAGGGCCTTTTCATATTCATTACCAGTACCAGGTACCAGTAACAAACAAATCATTCTTAAACTTACCAAAACTTGAAACACATTTGGTTGTTCAGGCCAGGTAGTTAAAATTACACATGTGCACATAAAATATAAGTAACATCATGTGCTGACATGTCACTAGTCACTAGTCGAGTCACTAGCTGCCTAGTCACTAGCTAGTTAATGCTAGTTACACGTTTGAACCTAGTCTCTGCTGATTGCGCAACCTTAGGGTCAAGTCCGATAAAGCAGCTAGCTAGTGAGTAAATGAGCCAAAGCACACTCTCCATTTGCACAGTGGATGCCTTTTTCAAGCACTCACCAGTATTTCGTTCAATGAGTTGCAGTGCAGTTGGAAGCAGCCCATAGATGTGCAAGAAGTGGTCACCCACCAGTGCATTGTCTTTGACAAGGATGTGAACACTGACCAATGATTGCAATATTTTTGCGTGCGTAGATGCCTCCATTGCCAATGGCAATATTGCAGCAGAACCATCATTTCGCAAGACTTGTGCAATGTCTGTGACTGTGGACTTGGTGCGGACCTTCATTGGAGTCTCATCATACATTCTTTTCCAAGTGAAAAGAATTGGTGTCCATTGCCCAGCCTCTATGTTTGCCTTCACTGTCCGCAAGAAAGCACCCCAAAGAAGGCCTGACCCTTCCAGTGCAGATGAAGAAGCGTAAACCAGTAGTCTATCTTGGTGGCTTGAACAGCCAGAAGCCTGAGCAGTGTAGCTCATCAATGGCCTGTCAGGCTTGAAAAACTCTCCTATTCTGGTGTCTAGTTTGTCCTTCTTTGCCATCTGGGCTTGGAAGAAATGCTGGGATGCGACAGTGATTGCCTAAGTGGCAAAAACAAAAAACAATGGCTGACTGGACCACAGATGGTGCAAACAGAGTCAAATACAGTGTCAAGTGTTCAGTCATGTCTCTAGTATAGTATAGTATAAGTATAAGTATAGTATACAGTAGTCACTAGTCTAATCATAATTCCTAATCCATAATCATTATGGATTCATAATCTTAATGAGTCTCCATTGACTTAGTAAGCAAAGTAAGTAGACATAAGTAGGTAGGTAGCTAAGTAAGCAAGCACTTGCAGTGTAGTAATTGTAATGGTGATGTTCTGTTAAGTAATGTAATGTAGTGCATAGTATAGTTTTAGTAAATTATAATTATTAGTAACTAATTAGTAAAGGAACGTATAGAGTATAATCACATCTAGTCTACTCACTAGTCACTAGTCATGTATCAGATTCAGTAGTCACTAGTCACTAGTCCAAGCCTAGTCAAGTCTAGGAGTCTGGTAAAGTACTCTAGAGTCTTGTCAAGTCTAGTCACCAGTCTGGTCTAGAGTCTAGAGTCTAGTCTAGTCTAGTCTAGTGAAGGCTAGTTGAGTCTAGTCTAGAGTCTAGTCTAGTCACTAGTCTTAGTCATCTAGTCTGGTCAGTCTAGTCTAGTCGAGTCTAGTCACAGTCAGTCTAGTCCAGTCAAGTCACCAGTCTAGAGTGTAGTCAGTCACTAGTCACTGGTGACTATTGAGTGTAGTCACAGCTTAGTGTCCAGTTCAAGTCAGGTCATGCCATTCGTCATTTATTGAAATTCAATCAAAGATCATTCATTATCAGAATCAACAGTAACAAGAGTGTGTGTAGAACCTAGAAGGAAGGTCCAAACAGCTAGTAGGCCCTGCCCTAGCTAAACAATTGCCCCAAAAACATGCTTTCGATTCATTACAAGATGCCTGTTGCACAGGACTCCCACATGCAACATGAGTACCAGGACCATCGGTGCTGGACTGGGGAATTGCTAGCTGCAGCATGCAGCTCCACAAACCAGACTGCAAAGACAGCAATGGAAGTTGGAGTGTAGTTTGAAGCTCTTCATTCGCCCTTTTGGCTGTTTCTGATGCAAGCCGTCTCTCTTTCTTGGCTGACCTGGCTGCTGCCATCCGCTCGTTAACAGTGACAGCAGGCTTCATCACCTCATTGTTAGTCTGCCTTTGCTTCCACTGTTGTCGCAAACTAGAATTACCAATCGTGCCCTTGGGTCTGCCCCTGCCCTGTTTTGTTCTCAGTTTGTTGAGACTAAGACTGCTTCTGGACTGTGCTTGTGCTGTACCATCCTCAACGTTGTTGAAATACACATCATCCAATCCAAACAAGGTAGGTTGCTGCACCGATTTGTCTTCATGTTGTCCATGTGGTTCCCTACTGCTACTGCTGCCGGCACTCTGTGCAGCCCCAGTGTGCACTTCATCCAAAGCACCCTGGAACAGTGCATCATCCCAAGACTGCTGCCAAAAAATGTTTTCATTTTGGCCATGAGGTTGGTCGCCACAGCTGCCAGCACTTTGTCCATCACTGTGGATGGGCGCTTCATTGGGAACACTTGGAAGAAGCGCATTGTCCCATGAATCCATCCAACATTGACTGCTGTGTTGACTGACTAGCTGCTAGCTAATGACTAAGACAGTGACCATGGTGGCTATCAGTATCAGCACAATGACCTGTGGCTAGTCACTAGTCACTAGTCAAATCTAGTGTCTAGTTAGTAACCGTTAGTAACCATGACTCCTGATTGTCTATTGATGACAATTGACTATGGCTACATGTGCTGCCTGGCCTAGTGCCTTGTCTATGATGTGACTATGACATGACACTATGACTATACTATGACATGACTATGGCAATGCTATATTATGACTATGACTATGACGACTAGTGACTAGTGACTATATGAGTCTAGTCTATAGTCTATCTATCTAACTGAATCTATTTGTTCATGGCTATGGCGGCTATGGTGGCTATGGCTGCGGCTATGGCATGGCTGGTGGCTGGACTATATGGCCACTCTATGCCATGCAAAAAAAAACACAGTGTGGTCTGACACCAGGTGTGTTTATGAGTGTGAGGTAGCGGTGGTTTGTGTTTGTGGCACATAGGGCACTGGAAAGTGGTTTGATTGCAGTGTCAGTTGTGCAGTGTAGAGTGTAGTGTAGTGCAGTGTAGTGAAGTGATCACTGGCCAAAACACTGCCAAACATGGGGCCTGAGTTCAATCCACCTTGATGACAATGGATCGGGAAACATATTTCTTACATTGGAATCATTGGAATGTGAAATTTCACCATAGCTGCTAGCTGCTGGAACCAGCTTCCCCCAACCACATCCCACACCCCAGCTCACCCTGAGACAACTCTGGCTGTCCTCTCACGGTTGATTGCGATCCAGCTGTTTGTGTTGAGCTTTTTCTTCAGCACCCAATATCCTCCATGCTTCCATTGGATGCTGCCAAGATGTTCCAACCACCTTGCGGAGAACAAGAAATTGCTGTTTGCCAGCTTGCAGTTGCAGTGCTTCTGTGGTACCAAGCCTGATCATTAGTCACCAGTCACTAGTCAGTAAGATGTTCAAGGCAGTTTCAATGTCACCCTTTACTATCCGTCCTGTCACTAGAAAAAAAAGCGGTTTGAAGAGTTTGAGTGAGCCAGTCAAGTTGAGAAGCTGAGTTGTTTTTCATTGTACTTAGTAGCCAGTCATTTTGTTCAGAACATCAAGTGAGTCCCTGGTTCACAAAGGCTGTTCTGTTACTGCTACTACTGCTAATGAGCTAATTATGCCATTATGCCTTATTCCATGCCATAATGCCATAGCTGACAATGATTGAACATGGGATCAAATAGAGAGTCAGATAGTCACATAGAGTCAGCAACAATATGTACAGTAGCCATAGTATTGCAGTAGTTTCGTAGTTTAGTTTATTAAAAGTAGTCATAGGCACAGAGTTGCAGTAGTTTAGTAATTAGTACTTAGTACTGTAAGTAGTGCTTAGTAACTAGTAAACTAGTAAGTAAGAGCAATAGTCACTACTCACTAGTCACAATAGTCAATTCAATAATCATAGTCACATGAGCAATTCAATCCAATACAATTTAAGTATAGCATAGCAAAGTTAGTAGTATAGTGTAGTGTAGTGTAGTGTAGTAACATAGTGACCTAGTAACTAGTAAATACAACATAACAGCTAGTTGATAATCATAGTCATAGTCATAATCATCTATTTATTTGGTCAAAATTAGTCACAGCGATAGATAGTCACATAGTCATTGTTGACTAGTGACTAGGGACTAGCGTCATAGTCATAGTCATCATGGTCATAGTCACAGTCATAGTCATATTCATTTGCTGCTGCTGAATAACAGATTAATGAAAGCAAGCTTGGCATGTTTTGCTAAGTCTGCTAAGTCCCTGCCTCTGCAGTGGAGTCTCCCCAAAACCTTTCTCAAAAGGAAGGTCAAAGCCCTCCACCTGCTCAGAGACCAGGAGTTTGGGCTCCATGGATTCAAGGAACTGTGACAGTTCCTTGAATGTCACTTCATATTCCTGGTGCTGTGCCACTGAGCGTGCCTGAAACCTGTCAACCCGTTGGGTTGAAAAGGGGTGGCAGGGACCCCCTGCAATCATCAAGTCAATGTCCTTTGGTGCTGCAACACATGGTGTTTTGCTGTAAGGGTGATTTGTACATGCTGCTCCACCCTTTTGTTCTTCAACGGTGCAAAACCAGTGGGTTGGAAGCTGCTCAGGAAAATTCAGGTGGACAAAGGCTTTGCACGTCTTCAGCTTGGGGTCCGAAGCACTCATCACATTGTAGTCCAAGCCCAGCTCCTACCAAAAGGGAACAGTGAGATGGCTCATCATGGAGATTTGCCACACAATATATGTCCACAGATAACAAATCAGTCTCATTCTCAGCAACAAGCCCTATGGTTGCTTCTGATAACTTTATAATGCTGATGCACTACGAAAAAAAAACTTTATGAACGAAAGAACTACAAAGAAGCAAACATACCTATGCAATTTGTGTGTTGGCTAGCTGCTAGCTAAATGCCGTTGAAATCACTTTGAGCTCCCATAGTTCCAACAGTTTGATGGTTTAGGTCACTAAGAGTCTGTGTTTATGCTCAGAGTATTATAGTCTTAGTAACAGTATAGTATGCAGAATAGTAAGTAAGTCAGTCATATGTCATGTCATAGTCATAGTCATAGTCATTGTCATAATCATAGTCACAGTCTAGTGACTAGTGACTAGTGGCAACTGAAACAGTACCAGGTGCAGGTAATGACATGTCCTACCTTTCTACTCTTCTGTTGCTCATGATACAAGACTGTGGGCTCCTTCAAGACAAAGGATTCTGCACTGAGCCCTGTGCATGCAGACAGAACCTGTATTTGAGACCGGCATTCAGGGAGTGAGTAGTGTTTGGTGTGGCTCTTGAGGAGCTTCGCCCACCAACAGCATTCCATACTCTCAGCATCGAAATCTTCATCATCACTACTGGACCGGCATGCCTCTGCTTCCTCAGTCTTTCGAGAAAGGATGTCTCTTCGGCGGATGAGGTCATCAGCTATTTGCGACCAGCATCCATCATCATCAGACTGCTCCCCCATTGCCAAGGCAGGCAAAGGAAAGGACTGAGGATGGTCAGGATTACAGATAACAGAACATAAGAGTTTGACTGTTTACTTTTACTAGGTTGCCCAGGATACTTGTTAAAACTGATGGTCTGTCCCAGGGCCTTGGACTCAGAACAGTTCCACAATCCCTTTGCGCTGAAAGGGCGAAGAACAAAACCATGTAACTAACAAAGAAACAATGTACAGGTGTGACTCAGAGAGTGTGTGTGTGTTTGTGAATGTTCAGCACTCAGTACTCAGTCTCAGTACCATTTCAGGTACTTAGCTTTTTTTTCAACTCAAAATTGCCCCCTGCATGCTAGTGATAGTGATGCTGCCACTGCTTCTAGTGACTGAACATTAGTCACTAGTCCAGGTTTCCACACCGATGATGCAATAGGGATCCCACAACCTCAGTGAACCAAACGGCTGAACATATGTGGTGATTTCACCCCCTGCCAGTTCGATCTGGGATCAAAACAAGGAAAGGCTGGGGTTTGACTTTCATCAGTGATTCAGACAGACCTGGACCTAAATGTAACTGAGTTCAAAACTGCTGCTTGTTTCTTTTTTAACCCTGTGTTTTTTATTTGACCTGACCTAACCTATCCGACCTATCCAAATCCAAATCAATTCTTTGCTAGCTCTAGCTGTAGCTGCTAAGCAAAGCCTGTCTACAAATGCTCAGTTTACAGTTGTAGCGACAGCTAGAGCAGTTGCAGTGAGTTAAAGGAAGGTGAAATTCTGCTCTCATTACTTGCCACCTCACCATGTTGATTTAATTTTGCTGTTTGGGCTTGGGCTTCCAGCATTGCACAGCGTAAAGAATGGATCATTGTCCTGCAGGCTCCAGGCCACACTTGCTGACTTAATCAGTCAGTATTGATCTGTTGTTGTTTCTATCATTATCAGTATCAGAATCAGTACAGTATCAGTAACTATCAGTTATTGAATGATAATGATTAGGATGTTTCAGTAGTTTATTTACTAGTTTGTTTATATCTATGTCATAATATATTGCTCAACTCATATCATTGCCATAATCAATCACCATGCCTTCATGTCATTGTCACAGTCATAGTCATGTAGACAAGTCATCGTCATAGTCACAGCCATTGTCACCATCATCATCATACAGCAAACTCTTCAACTCCACATTGTCGCCAAACAATGCTTAAGGCTTAATATCCTGGAAAATGCAGTCATTCAGTTTTTTTGTGATGTGGTGCCTCTCCAGCTCATCCTGCTAAGTAGTGATTAGTGTCAAGGTGCTGCCCCATGGGCCATTGATGTTGATACCACATTTGTCCTCCCCGTCATGTTTACTTTGGGAAGGTTAATGTTCTGTTAGTGAGATCAAACATTGAAGTGCATGCTGGTCCAAGAGACAAAGGATTCCCACTTCCTGGACCAGGGGCAGTGTTGGCAAGCAATGTTGAAGTCGAGGAGTCAAGCTGGTCATGGAGTCAAGTCGAGGAGTCTGGAGCATTTATTATTAGCTTGGCAACTCCAAACCATTGAAGCCTTTTTGTTGTCCCCCTTCATTGTCAAGGTCATTGTGACATTGTGCACTTCCAAGAGTGTCCAATAGAGCCTTCCTTCAAAGAGTGTAGTTCACACCCACTGTTAAAAGATCAGCCATGAGGGCACAAGGATCTTCATGGGAAGTCATGGCCCCACAAATCCTTGGGCCAGGTAGTAGCTTCCAAACATTTCTTTGCAAGGCCATGACATTCTGTGTGTCATAACTTCATTTCCTTCTGAAGTTGACCTTCTGCACAGCTGGTCTTCCAAGAGCCAACTGCACAGCATGACCTCAAATGTTTGCACACAACACAACTGCCTACCATGCCTTTGCCGGTTATGCACGACTTACACACCCACCTACAACAGCTTGTAAAAGGGTGATTGCAACAACACACAAAGAAGAACACATTGCTCGGCTGGTCAAAGTACAAGCACAGTGAAGTCAGTGAAACAGTGTTTGATTTGGGCTGTCAATGATGGGTGAATGATTCATTGATAAGTCGAGTCTAGTCAGACTTGCTTATGTGTTGAAAACATGTTTGAACTGATGACTCTTTCATGAGTTTTTTTGTGATGGCTGGTGGTGGCATTTGTACCAAAGTGAGAAAGAACCCTCTTGCCAAATACATTAGAACTGGAATGTTGCCTCTGCGACTGGAAAGAAGCGCCAGCGACACCACATGAACGTGCTTTAGGCTTCCAGGTTTTATGAAATTGTGGATGTCCATCATCATAGTCTGTCATAATCTAATCATAATCATAATCAATCATAATCATAATCACTGTCATAATGATAATCATAATCACCATCATTGCGCTGCAGGTTTTGCACTGTCACTATATCAGCTGGTTACATTATCAAACACGAAGGCATGGCATCCATCTATCAGTATCTTATCAGTATTCAATTATTAAGTAGTATTTCTATGTATTATTAATTTAGAATATGATATGGGAACCCTGCCGTCCTGGTCACAGTTTTGAAGCAGTTGCAAAGGCATTGCCTGCTGGTCACAATTTGTTAATTCTTCACTCCTGGCTTGGGTCTTGCAGTCCTGTGTTCCTGCCACATCCTACCCCTCTGCCTCTGCAAAGATGGTTGTTCGTTGAGCCTCAGATGCATTGGTACTGGTGGTTTCTGCTACCAGTGGAAGCCTAGACGCTGATGTCACCATCATTGCCAGCCATGAGCTCACCAACCCACTGTAGACATGTTGCCTAGTGACCTAGTGAGAAAACTAAAAGTTACAGTTAGTCAACAGTTAGTGTAACAGTGTAACAGTAGTTCAGTAGTTACTTACTAGTCAGTTACTAGTTATAGTTAGGTCCAGGTTGGGCTCGGACTCTAAGATGCGTTGGCAAGACACACAAACCACTTGTCACATGTTCAAATTACTTTCGCAGTGCGCAAAACACACAAATCATTTGACACTTGCAACTGATACCGGCAGTGCTCTACATGTTTGTTTGGGATTATGGCACTGGCAATGGCACTGAGCTTGAGCACCCCTTTCCAGTGGTGGAAGGTGAGGCCTCAGTGTCCAGTCAGTCACATCACTGTTTCTCAGTCAGTCAAACAGTCAGAGGTGAGGCCTAAGTGTTCAGCCAACTCTTTTTCAGTCAGTCAAACAGTCAATGACCTGATGGTGGGGGTACCTTCTTGCATTTTAGTGACACTTAGACTGTTCAAACACCTGATTGGAAAGTTGAAAATCATCACATATCGGATCAGTAAGTTTGATCAGGTAGGTGGCCAGGACACAATGGATATATTTACGTTCTTAGGTCTTCAGGTTTGCTAAAGGAAGTGCCATGGGAGCTGCCATGGGATCTCAGCAACAGTTTCCTGAATGGAACACCAGTGTGTGAGAAATCATGTGTTAACTGTTAGCTGTTAGCTGCTAGCTGAAGGGTCAGGTGTCTCAGGATGCCGCCAAAACACACACTTGAGTTGCCATCACTACTGAGTAACCATTGAGTCTGATCTGAAACAAATGTCTTTAGTTTGTCATTGGGACACCCTTCAGAATCAAACATCCTGACCCTTTGGAGGCACATGGCCACAAGTCCTGGGGCACATGCACGCACAGCATTCATAGCCAGCGATGCAAGTCCACCTAGTGTGTTGTTGGCTGGCTTGGAAAAGGTGGAAGGGCAGGTTGGGGCCACCACACATCAGATATCAGAGCAACGATCATATCGCCAAAACCAGTGCCAGCGTCCATGTCCAACATGTGACAATGGCTGCTCAGGCAGTTACAGCGCAGCTGTCGTTGCCCTGGCTACCTGCACCCCACCACACCCAGCTAACTATACTAGCAGCTAGCAACCTCATTGGTTCCTCCTGTCCATGCAGGATACGGCAATTGCAGAATCATGTGTGGTTGGGTTAGCATGTCGGTGTCTGTCATGTTGTATGTATCGCGGTGTTGCTAGACACAGGTCAATCGTCACTACTCAACTAGAAGTGGCAACACTGCAAACAAAAATGATGCTGGGAAAATTCGTGCACAACAATAGTTACTGTCATAGATTTACTTATTTTATTTAATCATGCCGGTCCTCAGCCCAATGTCCAATCAAAGGGAAAGGGTATCCAGGTATCCGAGTTTTCTGCTACATGTCAAGCACCATTCATAGTTGTACCCGTGAAAACCACTGGTTTGTAAAGGAAGACAGTCTTTGAGGGTTCCATTCAACCTGGGTCCATGTTAGTTTTCGGGAGTGTGAGAATACTGAATACTGAATACTGCTATACCCACTGATCAATGTTGAAAATTGGGCTTGCCACGCAATGCACTTTCAGCATTGAGGTTCTATGTGCATGTGTGAGACATTCACTCATCCACACCCCAGAAAAGAACTCTCTGGTGGTCCAGTTTGGGCCAGGTGGAGTGAGGTGGAATGACTAAACAATGGTGACTGCAGTTGTGCGTGTGTAAAGGCCTGACTAGTGAGTGAGGCTGTTGTAGGAGTGCCTTGGTGTGGGTCTAGGAGTCTAGCAGCTTAGCAGGTAACCTTGACCACACACTTGCAGTGGTAGAAGGTGAGCCAGGTGGAGCAAGGCCTTTGGAGAGAGGATGTGGGGCTTTTGGTCAATAACCCGAAAAAGTTGTGTGAACCCTAGAGACCTAGACCTAGACCTGAAGCCAGCTAAAGTCACAAAAGCGTGGCCGAAGGCAACAGTGGCGACTAGCGGTGGCTACATAAAAGAGTGCTTACTCACTATGTCACGATTCTATTACTTATTACTTACTATGTTACTGTTACTAATCACTACTCACTACTCAGTACTCACTACACTACATGTCACTACACTATAACTCACTATCAGATATAAGGTTTCAGACATCAGATATCACTATTTAACTAAACTTAAACTAAACTAAAACAACTAATCTCTAAATTTTCAAAAATATACAATATATACTACTTTAACTAAACTTAAAACTAAACTAAACTAGTAA